TTCATTATGTAATATGGTTATTCATACTAAATTTTTTTTATCTAACCTGTTACAGGTGTTCATAACAATGAGGGCCGTTACAATTGTGCAATTGAATCACACTGCCAAAGCAGCTGTAATGGGTAGCAATATTATGTAATGGTGTTACATAACAGTTTCAGCCCATTTTTACAACCTTGCTCCCCTTTATCCCTCCATCTCCTTTCATCTCACCTAGACCCGTTACAATACTCACTTTGCTTACCCACCACCCCTATAATCCTTTTTCACTTCCACAACCATCTCCTGTCAACCCCTCTCCCCAACTTACCCCACCCCGTCTCCCCTCACCCACTAGCCTTGCCATTCCCTCACCCCTCATCCACCATTCTATACAAACCCAATAGCACCCACTACCATCACACATTCTAGTCCTGAAAATCAATTCCAGTACCGAAAATACCTCTTCGAATTTGAATAACTCCAGCGTATTGTTTCCTAAAACTTGTTCATTTATATATACAATGTTATATGTGTATAATATGATTAAATTATAAATTCAGATATAACTTACAAAATAAATTATAATGTTAGGGTGTATAGGCTAATAATTTATTTGGTTAACATGTAATTAGAATAAAAAAATGAATCTTTATATAACAGAAGAGAGAGAATGAGAAGAAAGTAGATAGGTATTAAGATTACGGAGTTAGTGTTGCAATTTAGTCTAAAAGCACATGAGGAGTCTATGGTATTTTTAATTGACAGGTAGTGAAGTGCTCCGAGGCCAAACCCTCAAGGGATAAAGAGGATTTTCCCTTAAATTAAAATCATGTTTGATAGCTGATTTACCAAGTGCTATACATTTCTATGAGATAGTAGAGAAGAAGCTTGTTTATCTACGACGTAAAAATAAAAACAAACCCTTACCACATCTCAAATCTATTGAAAATATATTATTAAATGCAACCTTGGATGAGGTGCCTGTAAGGGTCTCCTACAAAAGAAAGTTCGATAGAATTTTCCAAAGTGGTAGGGAATGAGAAGCCATTTCAATGTTTATATACTGCAGCAAAAATATTGAATGAAGCTTTACAGTAAATAAGCTTCTAGTTGTAACAGAAGTCCCAAGAACCTAACGCTATAGACACCGACTAGTTTGCCTTCAATATTTTTAAGATCTGATGCAAATCTAATGCAATTCGGTCCATGTAATTTCTAAAGCTAAAAGATTTCAAATAACTAGCTAAATTATAAGCAGCTCTAAAAATATAATAATGAAAATTACAATACTAGTCTTTACTAGCAATTCAGTAGATTGTGGGTTTCTTTGTTTCCATAACATCATCCTAAAATTATGAGTCAACTTAACGTTCCATTCATCAAAGCCACAAATAGAAGGTTTCATAAACGCCATACCACTAGGAAACCAGGAACACCCAACAAGAAAAAAACTTGACAGGGCTAATAAAATACTCATTTGTTTGTTTAATTTACCTGTACTATATTGTAAAATGCACTTACCCCCACATATATATGTATGTATGATATATGTACACCATTCTAATTCTTTCTTATTTTGTGTTTATAGTACTTGCCTGCAGCGGATATGCGATAATGTTTTCCTACTGCATTTTGTAATCTGAAGTCACTAGTGCTGCGTGCAGACTTAATTAGAAGCCACATGGAAGTATTAATTTACTTAAGCATTTCCCCAAATCTGGAAGCTATTGTTATTGATGCTAAAGGTAACAAGGAATTTATATGAACTACTTTTTCTTGTAGATCTCTTATAATACACAAATTTATCTACTGTTATGAAGCTTCTTGGTAGTTTAAGGACATATTACAGGGTTGAAATTGTTCTCCTTTGTTTCCAGAAGCATTTTATTTTATAACATTTCCTTTAGCATGGAGCTGTCACATTGGTTAAAAATGATCGGAATACATCTGATTATGATCCTCACATAAATTAGTGCCTATTTCAGATGTTTTGTAAACAAAAGGAGTCATGGTCCAAATACGTACACTAGCCATCATTATGAAGACATGGACATCAACCCAACTTGGAACATTTTTTTTTTCAATTCAATAATCTTGAATGCATGCCCTATGGGTGAGACACATCGCTGTGAACTTTATTGATGGGCATAAACTTCAGATCAACATAGTTTATATTGCCCCCAAATGGCCTGTTTTCGCCTTTTTCCTCACACGTTTTTGTCTAACTCTTTAACCATGTGTCCGATCAATGCGCTGCTTCCTCTCACACATTTTTTGAATGTAGGCCGAGGTGCCTATTATGATATGGAGGCTGTTTTGGTGCTGTTTCCAATGTTTGGCCCCGAATGGGCTGTTTTCTCCTTTTTGCCTCACAATTTGTTCTCTAATATTCTCATAACACGTTTATTTGCCTTGACTTTGAACATAAATGTAATGCAATTTGGTTAACACACTTACCCATTACCATAAGTAGCTATGGTGGGGACTTTGATGGATTGAGCTTTTCCAAAACTTGCGCCAACGTGCTCTGAAGTCCAAAAATCTGCATCTGCATCTCCTCACGTTGTCTTGCATTATCTGCCTCTTTTATTTGTTGCTCCTCTTCTTTTTTTTTCTGCTCCGCACGCAGCATCTCCAACTCGGATGTAAGCCTTTTCAAGTGCTCCTCACGTGCTTGCGATGCCACATTCGACCCAACATCACAAGACGAGGGCTTTGGTCCGACCCCAAAACCTCTCAAGTATCCTTTCTTCTTCCCCAACACCACTCTTGATATATCCTCTTGTGTCATCGGCGTTCCAGACTCAATAGACTCATCCCGCACCATTGTCATTTGCTCCTGTAATTGTGACATATAACTATTGTTAATATAAATCAAACATAGTAGTTACTATAAGTGTCCAAATGATTGGAATAGTTACATGTAAATCACAGCATATACGATCAATCCATTCTTTGGTCTTCTAGTTCTGATGAGTGTCCTTGTAGAAATTGCAAATATCTGGCAACAAGCCACCGTTTTCCTTCACCTGTGATATGCCAAACACTGATATCAACACTAACATATTAAATATGTGTGGATAAAATTAATAAAATCAATGACACACATCTCACCACAATGCTCATCGCCACCGGAAAAGATCGCGACCCACTACTGTGATTGTAGGGTAGCTTGCTCCTATTTAGTTTGCCGACATCATAGCGATGCTACATAATCCAAATTATAAGGGTTTGTTACATATATAGTTAAACAATGATAAAGAGTACTAAGTAATAACTAAATCATAACATACCTTGTTTTTAGGATCCAACCATACTTGGTCAATCAAATACTTCCAATCATCGGATTGTACTCCTTTGTATGGATGAGCATAGGGATCAATTCTCGCATCCACAAGCTTCTCCCATTTCTTCTTCATTCTGCACTTCCAATCTTTATATAACACATAACACTTCTTTTCCACAACTTTTTGGGATAGTGAATTCTCCTCGTAATTATTCCCAATCTCAAATTTATCCTACAGTCAATACAAACACAATAAGTAACTTAACTTATGTAATGTGAAAGCTGCAAATATGTTAACAGTGCGAAAGCCTTAAAATGGTGTCATTATACTAGTTTAAATGAGGGAGCTATGACCAAGACTCCCTATAATCTTTCCATGATATATGATCCACCACTTTCATAGTTCAATATGTGCAGAAAGAATTTGCTGACCAACTTATTCATGAATCATGTTGGTACATGAATTGGGGCAATGAAGACTAATTTGTATTAACTGCATCAATGATCGAAGGTCATCATACCCGGTGCAGAAGAGGTACTTAGTTGGCAAGTCGTACCCCCAACTTTTTTGTGACTAGGCTAATTCACATGACTCGAACCCACATCAACACAGCTGGGAGCAGACAGCACTTGCATCATGGAAGGGAGACAAATAAATAAAGTACACTTGTTATTTTCATCACTCTTAGCCAAGACCAGGCTTATTACTTTTTCTTTTACATGGGCATAACCCAAAAACAGACATCAAAATTACACTCCACTAATAACATAGGAATGACTCAGATTCAAGAATTATATAAAGGAGATTTGGCCCTCCACAACTTGATTGAAAAAACAGTGACTCAGAAAGTTGCAACACAAATACATCATTACTAAAGAAACCAAGTAACATTGACAATAGAACACAAGCTTTATCCTAACAATTTATGAATTTTGTGAACTACAAAACAAACTGCGATTGACTACAACTTCTTTTACTCCAATAATTGGATGATTTCCATTAGAAGCCAATTTAAGAAATTGACTACGGAAGCTTAACTTCTACCATCCATGCAGTCCACCTAAACTGGATTTAGCAGCAACCTGACAAACATTTATAATGCGCATCTTCATATATTGCCATCGTTTAAATGGAATACCAGTATACTATGTTCGTAGAAAAATAACGATTTAAACATAGACATGTGGTTGTGGGTATCAAAATAATTTTACTTGAATCGGCATTTTCTGTAATGATATGTTTATCAAACATGTATGCAGAATCCAATTTCACAGAGCCTGTGATTGTCCTGTTGGTTAACAAGGCACTCACTAAAAAGACTAAATGGTTGTCCTACGTATGTGGTCAAGAATAATATGTCATGTACTTTATGTAGGTTGCATTGCTCTTAACTTGCATTGGAATGATAAAATAATGAAGAGAAATTTATGGTAAGTAACTTTAAAAAAGCTATATCAACAAAAAAAAAAGAAAAAAGGAAGCCACGGGACCTTAAACAATTTCATGTACCAACATGATTCATGAATAAATTGGAATGGGCTGCTTATTTATAGACACCCCCTCCCCAAAAAAACTAAGATGGAATGGGCTGCTTATTTATAGACACAAGTTGAAACAAATGAGCTTTTCATCTCTTCACCGCTTTCAAGCTTCGAAAACCAACAAAGTAAACAAAGAAAACAAATAAGCTCCTATATGCACATTATAAAAAAAACTATTTCCATCATCCACACAGACTATGAAAGCAATTTAATCATACCCGGACAGCTTGTACAACAGCAGCTTTTGTTGCTGGATCAGCAACAGTCCAACTCTTAACGCCTTGAATGGGGCACATCCTCCTAATCTGAAGGCCGATCTCATTCGATCCTGGGGTCGCTAGCACACCTTCGAATGCATTGAATGTCTCCGTGATTGGAATGTACAGCTTGTTTCCATTATTGTTGGCAATTCTTTTTGCTGTTGCTTTTCCAACTGTTGGTCCCCGCACACGCTTTGATGAAGATGCACCTGGTAATTGATAATATTATTAATGTATTTACAAATTACAAAATATTAACAATATATATAAATTGAAGACAGATCTCAAACATATTTAATTACCTGCGCCACTCGGTTGACTATGAGGAGATGGTGGATTCGTTTCAAATGGAGATACTTCACCACTCTCAGATGCAGCTGGTGCATTACTTTCAGACGGAGATGGTGCAACAGTCTCAGATCCTGACAATGCAGCTTGTTCAGACCCATCTACTGCAACACCTTCAGGAGTAGATGTAGGTGTATCAGTTTGCGATGAGTATGCTTCAATTAATGCCCTCTTTGGTGGTGGTAAACGGCACATCTTTTTCGCAGGAGCCATTCTACTACAATTTAACATAATCAAAGGCCAAAGCGCACAATGAGCACAAATTTTTAATACGTATAGACATATACATCAAGACTGATAATTAACAAACATTTCCATTCATATTCTTAACTCAATTTTGTTACTATCTTGACATGGAATAACATTTGAATACTAAAGGACAAATTAATGTACTAGCAATTTTATTAGTTTTCTATTTTAGAATCTTGGTTGATAAAGGAAGTCTCTAAAATCTATATAAAGTCATGTAATGCTTATAATTTAATAAAGTTGATATTTTAGAGATTTTCAAGAGCTTTGATGCTTTCTTATGGATTGTGTGATGCCTAAGGCCTCTAGGAGTGATTCGTAGAAACTATCTTCCTCTTCTCCATCTTTCCCTCTTGTAGACACTTTAACAGCTCAAACTCTGTTCACGGGTACTGTTCACAGCGCTTAAAGCAGCCCTTGAATAGTGCCAAAATCTCATGTTTTCATGCTTGTACGCTTACCCCTTTATTACTCTAAACAAACCTTTAAAACCCCTATACTCTTATTGCAATTTCAGCCATAAAACCCCAATTAAAATCAGTCCGTAAACACATTGTTGCTGTTGTCCCTACTTGTCCTGCGTCACTGGGTATTTAGTTTTTATGCATCATTTGTTACTATTTTACTAGTTTTATTGGAGATTCTTTCCTTCTTTTTTTTCCCTTCCATTTTTGAAATTAATAACTTCATCTATGAAGTTCAAACAAAATGAACTCATGCCTGTCTAGTGGCATAATTATTTTTTCTTGTTTTTTCCCTTGCGTCGCTTGGTCAAAAAGGAATAGCCATCAAGCGTTAAATACACTTTTGACGGCCTATTTTTTTGCCTGTTTTGTGACAGGGTCATCAATACAAGACAGTGTCAGGTTTTATCTGTGAGGCGTTTGGATATATCCCAAGGACTGGTGAGACTATAAAAGTAGTACTTGAAAAGGCAGACCAAGAAGAGCATGATGAATATACTGAAGCAGATTCTGACCGCCAAGATGACCCACAAAAACATCAAAATTTTAAGCTTGAGGTATGGCTTTCATTTTTTTCCCCTACATTCAGTTCTTAGGGAGTTTCTTCACCTAAAGTAGTAGTTTCCTCTATGTCTGACCTACGTGTTAACTGGTGATATTACTGACTGGGAAGTGGTAGTCTTTTAGTGCTCTAAATGAGGTAGCCACAGAATTTGTCTCATAATTTAGTTTAACTTTTTATAAAGCGATCAATGGGGAGTCAACTTTTACTTTTACCAGCTCACTGGCGCATAAAACTTTGGTTAGAAATTCACCCCCTGCCCTGCCACCAGAAGATAAATAATTTAATACTGCTGTTTGCCTAGGAATTCTTGAAACAACCCCGAAGTTCTCAGAGAAAGATAGAAGTGCTGAGGAAATTTTCACTTATAAACAACTATTAGAATATTTTATCATTTAGTCGAGTACTCTTGTGATCTTTATGTTCTTTTCTACTTGAACAATGTTCTATTTTGATACAATGACAAGTATACACAAACAGAAAAAATTAACTCCGGAAATTGGAATTTGACAGAGTTAAACATTAACAGCATACAACCAACTCAAACAAAAATTTGTCTTCTTACTTAATTCCAACATCTAGAACTTTTCACCCAAACAAACCCGACACTGTACACCTTGATCACCAGGGAGAAACCACAACAAAAATGCAATTGTGGAGCAACAAAAGCCTCTATGAGATATTTTTATCTAATGAACACTTAAAAGGCCATGTCAATGCATTTCAGAGAAGCAGTCACTTGCAAATGAAAATAGAAATAACAATTATTTCTAGCTCGTTGGGGAAAAACAAAGTTTACTCCAGCTATGAGTTTTCGTAGTGGTAGTAGGTAGTAGGGAGTTTTGTTAGTCTTGGGACTTAACTTTTGCTTGAAGGAACCCTCGATCAGAAACATGGAAGTACTCTGAAGATGTGAACATAATTTTACAAAAATGAAATAAGTAAAGCATTAGAACACTAGAAATTATATCTACTTGAAGAAACCTTCACAACAAATTTGTATACGTCAGACAGAACAAGAAAGTGCATAGGTTTGTTTATGCTGAACCTATATGGAACTGGTTTAGGTCAAGATAACAAAGGGTTAGGAATGACATTTCCCTCAATTATGCTGACAGAAGAGAATACCAAAATGATATTAGGAACTATTTGAAGAGCACATTCACAGAGTCTTGGTACTTCAAAAGACAGTGCGAGGATATGTGAAAGCAACAGTAACCTTTCTTTATATGTAGAATATGCAAGAAATTGTTTTCTTTTCGAAATTGTTCATTGTTCATCATTTGTCTTCTTTGTAAAAGTTTCCAGTGGCAATCTTGCAGCTCGACAAACACAGTGGGGCCAGACGAATCACAAGACAAACCAGCTTTTTTGTAACTGAAGGCTCTCATTATTGGTACAGCCACACAAATCATGAGAAACAATTGATAGTGAATAATGCTTGTTGAAAGAAAAAATTCTACAAATTACTTGACACAAATCATGAGAAACAATTGATAATGAATAATTTTCAAAAGTAGTACTTAAAATTTTTTTGCCATTTTGAATTTTTAAGCCCAAAAGTAAAACCTCCCTGGACATGCAAGATTATTTTCTAGGGTTCTGTAAAAGGAGAGTGTGAATAGGAGGACTTAATAAGTTAGACTTATATGTTTAATATATAGATCTTAAGTAGGTCAATAAACAAAGATATTAGCTTCAGCAAAACTAGATATATATCTCAGAGAATTGCACTATTACTCTAACACCAAATCCAAGGCTACACAATATCTAAGAAAACAAAAGTAGCAAAACCATGGAGTGAGACTGAGAAGCCTCCTGAAAATTAGCAAAATGAGGGGTATTGCCCAAAATCTGAGAAATAATCATCAAAGGGAAGCCAATAAATTATTTACTATTGCAATCATAGAATCAAATTTCAATTCAAACAATCAGAACACATGAGAATACATACACAATCAATGAGCAGCCATACATGCAAATACATACGCAATCAATGGATTAGGGCTTTGAAACTAATGAGAGAGAAAGGAAAAAGAGGGCGAAAGTAAATTTTACCAGTGAAATCAAACCCATTTACGAGATCAAACCCATAAAGCTCTAGAAATCAAACCAGTTTAAGAAATCAACACGAAATTATTTAGTATAAATCATATAAAACCCTATAGCAAGAGTTGATAGTTGGGGAAATAGAGGAAGGGAGAGAGAGAGAGAGAGAAGAGAGAGCGAGATAGAGAGGGCAACCGACACAGAGAGGGAGAGAGAGAACCTGTGATCTGCGGCGGTGGCGGTGGTGATTTGCGGCTGCGGCGGTGCCGATGTGCAATGTACGGTGAGCTACGGTGAGCGACGGTGGTAAGGGACTGTGCTGAGATGAGGTGGGGTGAGGTTTGGTGGTGATGTGTGAGAGAAGAGGACGTTTGTGTTTGTTTAAACAGAGAATGTAGAAGAGGGCGCGAATATTAAAAGTAATTTCCCTCTCAAATTTTAGACCTGTGGCGACAAAGGTGGTGTTTGGGAAGAATTTTACCTAGGTTTTTTCTCATTTTTTCCATTAAAAGACAAAAATGTTGCAAAATCAAAAAAAACACATCCAAACAAAATATCACATCCAACCTCATAATCATTTCACTTTTTCTCTCACAAATATTACATCCAACCACAAAAAAATCCAACTATCTTCCCAAACACAAACAAAAAAAATGACATTTTAATATCTTACATCTAAAAAAACCTACATAAAAACTCACTTCCCAAACATCATCTAAATTGGTTATTTGTTGGCAAATAACCCATATATAACGACTAAAAGTTTTTGTACCCAGAACTTAAATAAGAGTGACATTTAAAAATATTTTAGTATTAAGTGAATTTGTTTTATTTTAGTATTCAGTGAATTTTTTAAATATTTTTTTTACAAATATTATACTTTTAAAGTGTATTTATGTTTGGTATATCGAAAAATTTTAAAAAACATTAGAATGAATTATACTTTTAAAATATTCGCCGCTCGTCGCTTGCCTCCGTGTGTGTGAAAGAGAGAGAGAGAGAGAGTGTTGTTTCGAAACTTAGGGCTCTGTAAACCTGAAAGGAAATGAAAAAATGGGGGGAAAGGCAGAGGGAAAAAACAAAAAGGGGAAATTAAGTTTGGGCGGGCGAGTTAGTGAAAAAAAAAGGGAAATTTTGTTTCATTTTTATTTTAATGATTTTTTTTTTATTTGGTAGAAGTAGGGGTAATATTTTAATGAAAAATATTTTTCGTTAAAATAAAATTAATTTTTTATGGTCAATGAAAAATATGGTTTTTGTGGCCCAATTTTTGGTGAAGGTGGTGGAGGAGAGAGAGCGACAGTAGTGGTGAAGGTGGTAGATAAGAGGTAATGGTGGTAGTGGTGGTGGTGGTGGTGGTGGCGGCGGCGGCGAAGGAGATTAATGATGAAGTTGTGGTAGTGGTAGAGGAGATGGAGTGGCGGTGGTAGATGAGAGGTAATAGTAGTAGTAGTGGTGGTAGTGGTAGTGGTAGTGAAGTGGTAACGATACTGGCAGTAATGGTAGTCGTAGAGATGGAGTGGCAACAATGGTAATAATGCTGGTAGTGGAATGACATTTGCAGTAGTAGTGAATGTGGTAAAGGAGATGGGTGGTGAGAGAGAGATGAGTAAGAGACAACTAGAGAAGAGAGATAGAGAGAGAGAGAGAGACAGAGACAGAGACAGAGACAGAGTGATGAGCGAGAGGGAGACAAAGTGGTCGCTAAAAGTGCATTTTCTTGTAGTGAAGAGCTCGGTAAATAAAGAAGAGGGGAGGGAGAGAGTGAGTAAGGTGAACACAATGGAGGAGAGAGACAGACAGACAGACACACACACACACACACACAGAAAGAGAGAGAGAAGATTGAGAGACAGACAGACAGACATAGAGAGAGAAAGAGAGAGAGA